ATGACCTGGACGTGTCCTGGACATGCCTCGCGGCCAGAGGTGGTCGAGCACGTACGGGAACGCCTTGACCGTGCAGACGGGGATGTCGTCGTCGGGAGGGTCGGCCGACGCGCCGTACGACGCGGTGAGGCCGGGCAGCACGACCTGCGTGTTCGCCTTGGTGCCGGCGGTGCCGCTCTCGAGCAGAGGCTTGCGGTGGAGCACGCACATGCGGTCGACGTGCAGCCGCGCCGCGACGTTGTCGAGCGCGCTGATCACGCCTGTTCACAGCTACAGGTGTGAAGAGACGCTGTTCACACCATCACGTTGTCGAGCGCGTTGATCACGCCTGTTCACAGCTACAGGTGTGAAGAGACGCTGTTCACACCATCACGTTGTCGAGCGCGCTGATCACGCCTGTTCACAGCTACAGGTGTGAAGAGACGCTGTTCACACCATCACGTTGTCGAGCGCGTTGATCACGCCTGTTCACAGCTGCAGGTGTGAAGAGACGCTGTTCACACCATCACGTTGTCGAGCGCGTTGATCACGCCTGTTCACAGCTACAGGTGTGAAGAGACGCTGTTCACACCATCACGTTGTCGAGCGCGTTGATCACGCCTGTTCACAGCTACAGGTGTGAAGAGACGCTGTTCACACCATCACGTTGTCGAGCGCGTTGATCACGCCTGTTCACAGCTGCAGGTGTGAAGAGACGCTGTTCACACCATCACGTTGTCGAGCGCGCTGATCACGCCTGTTCACAGCTACAGGTGTGAAGAGACGCTGTTCACACCATCACGTTGTCGAGCGCGTTGATCACGCCTGTTCACAGCTACAGGTGTGAAGAGACGCTGTTCACACCATCACGTTGTCGAGCGCGTTGATCACGCCTGTTCACAGCTACAGGTGTGAAGAGACGCTGTTCACACCATCACGTTGTCGAGCGCGCTGATCACGCCTGTTCACAGCTACAGGTGTGAAGAGACGCTGTTCACACCATCACGTTGTCGAGCGCGCTGATCACGCCTGTTCACAGCTACAGGTGTGAAGAGACGCTGTTCACACCATCACGTTGTCGAGCGCGCTGATCACGCCTGTTCACAGCTACAGGTGTGAAGAGACGCTGTTCACACCATCACGTTGTCGAGCGCGCTGATCACGCCTGTTCACAGCTACAGGTGTGAAGAGACGCTGTTCACACCATCACGTTGTCGAGCGCGCTGATCACGCCTGTTCACAGCTACAGGTGTGAAGAGACGCTGTTCACACCATCACGTTGTCGAGCGCGCTGATCACGCCTGTTCACAGCTACAGGTGTGAAGAGACGCTGTTCACACCATCACGCTGTCGAGCGCGCTGATCACGCCTGTTCACAGCTACAGGTGTGAAGAGACGCTGTTCACACCATCACGTTGTCGAGCGCGTTGATCACGCCTGTTCACAGCTGCAGGTGTGAAGAGACGCTGTTCACACCATCACGTTGTCGAGCGCGCTGATCACGCCATCGAGTCCGCCCCAGAAGGCGTCGTCGAAAGGAGAGCCCGGCGCGCCGACCGCCGCCTAACGGGCGGTGGAGCTAACAGGCGGTGTGTGTGGGGGGGGGGGAGGGGGGGGGGAGGGGGAAGAGCCAACAGGCGGCGGTGGCGGTGTGTGTGTGTTTTTATCTAGAGGTGGTGGTGGT